CATGAAATTCGACTGCTAAAAAGATTAAATGGAATTAAACTATACAGGAGGCCGCTAACTGTATTATACAATATTATACACAGGAACGCACATCACGTTAGACACAGAACGCCCATCGCGTATGACAAAAAATGGCTTCTAAATTCTCAATGTCCCAACTCTTTCTATCTATGGCTCTGGCTGGGGGGAGGGGGATATAGCCCCCCGTCGGGGAAGCTTATCCAACTCCCCCCACCGTCGGGGAAGACGAGTAAATTTTTTCGGGGAATAAACAAATAAAAAAAATATTTACATGTAATGTTCGCTTAGCCACCACATTGTTTTCATTAAACTATTTGTGTTATTTTTATTACTACTACTACTACTACTACTACTACTACTACTACTACTACTACTAATAATAATAATAATAATAATAATAATAATAGTTCAATGAGACTAATTAAAATAATTTGCGTTCTGTTATGACAAATGCTCGTTAGGATAGCCTCATGATGCTTGAAATACATCGTGATTGGTAAAGCAACCTCGACCATAACAGCGTGGTTGACAGATTTCATGCAAAAGTTCCAAAATGTATAATTTAACTTTCAAGAACGAGGATTTGAAAATAAATTATATGGTTACATTGCATACGCTTTCTTTCTTGTTTTATTCAATTTTTTTTGGTCTTAGAAGCTGATTTCGACATTAGAAAACAGCCTACATAAAGTCATATTATAGTAATTCGATGCCTATCAAAATAAGTAATAAAAAATCGCCATAATTCGTCAAATATCCGAGGCTTCCAGGGGCCTTCGCCCCTTGAACCCCCACCGGGGCCCTAGGCGGCCCCCTGGCCCCCAGCCAAGTGAGACTCGATTCGCTCCACTAGCCCCCCCCCCGTCGGGGCCTTTATCCCCTACGTCAGGCAGATCCTGGCACCATCACTGTAATCGAAGACAAGATTAGATCAATTCAGTGGCGGGTCCAGGGCCCCGGGGAGGTACTTTCACAGACGGAGGATCTATACGATGGAACAATTTAGTTCCCCCTCCCCCAATCCGGCACTGCATTTGATTGATTAGAGGGAAATGTATCTAGGCACAATATTATTTTTTAAACATCTTAAATGCGTTTTTCTCAAAATGCACTCTTTCGACATTCGCCACTTCATTTGAAATACTGTAGTTGAATGTTATCACACAAAATCTATTGTCGGAGGGCTAACATACGTATATTTTATATCAATTATAAATAACAATAGGTCTACTTCTGAATTCATGTTAACAACAAATATAGGCCTCATCAATGAAATTCGAAATAAAAATATAGGCCTATTATTAATTGGACATAGGCCCATCACACTGATCTCTGTTTTATGTGCGTCAAATATAAGTGTTTTATCCGAACACCGTTAGAGTGTGAAATCAATAGCCTCCAATCGGATTCGAACTTCCAACGAGAGCCCAAGTTCTCGAATCCCACTCTACAGATACTTTCTTCAAGCTGAAAAAAAGAACTTTTCACTGAAGGACTCAATCAGGGGCGCAACCATTGGTAAAATTTTAGGGAGGGGTGGTGTCACGCCTTGCGAGCGCAGAGAGCTACTAGGCTGGGACAGCAGTTTCATGGACGTGAGAAAGCGTAGATTTATCTTATTGTTTTTATATTTCCTTTCATAATTTCTTAAGCCTATAATATTAGCTTGACGCAGCTAACAGTTATCTGATTGTTTTTTAGGAGTGATGTTTTGCCTTACCTGACGTGTTATCCTACCGAATACTCAGTATACGTCCCCAAATATTTGTAAAAAACATTTCGCAAGTGAATCGAACCCCACGACCTCCAGATATCTAGCCTGGCACCATAACCACTAGACTATGCCTATCCCAGTGGCGTATCTAGAAGTCTTAAAATTGGGGTGCTGATGGGGAATCTGTCTCTTATACACATCTAGATGTGTATAAGAGACAGCTTGGGATCAATTACCAGTTGAGGGGCGCTAATTCGCAAAATAAGGTGATTTTTAACTACTTGACCGTGATTTTTTTTTTGGGGGGGGGTTTGGGGGCGAGTATTTCTAACACGCACCACAACCACACCCCCACCCATCTTGTATGTGTGTCATGGATGTAGGCTACAAAAATGCAGGCCATGCTGTATACTCCATAGTTGTATTCATTCTAGTGGAATAGTCCAGGTCATATTGGTACGTAGATAATGACCTTTATATTTGAGAATTTTCTACTACTGCTGTAATAGGCCTACTATTGTACTGCTGGTTACTACAGTACTGTAATTATTATTAACCATTACCGTAGGGTGTGGTGTATACACATCAAGATGGAGACAATCTTCGGTTATTTCTTCTGTGAAATTGAAGTAGTCTAGTTTCATTTGCGGACAAGCAGCCTTATTGATCGATGCATCGTAGGCCTGGCCCTCTTCAGCACTCCATGTCTTAGCAATTGGCGGCATAAAACGGAGCGGTCCTACCGGCGGCTCGGCGTACGGAATGCTCAAGTAGCCATCCACAGTCTTGACAACGTCCAAATGAGGCCCACCGTCAAATGAGAATGATTTACCGATGATTTTACCAAACTTGGCTTGGACCTTAGGTCTAGGCCCCGTAGCCTCGGGAAAACAATATATAATCTTAAATGCTAGGAACACGATTGCAAGTACTACAGACTTCATGTTGGTGAATGAACATTGTTGCTGACCTTTGTTCAACGTATACTGTATTATCATTTTGAGTCGAGTCACGTTGTCGTGTCAGCAGTTTTGTTTTCATAGCCCTGTTAATAATATTATTGGGCTTTTACAGTGGCGGATCTGGGTTCAAACTTAGGAGGGGGTAAAATGTTATACATACAGAAAAAAAATTTAGTAGTTGCATACGTAGGCGCGGCCTATTCTGTTTTTTCCATGAATCGATGAACCAACAAAAGAAAGCTTAAAGGGTGTCGTGGGTCCTCCATGATTCCTAGATGGCCGGAAATGAGCTTTCCCGACTTCATTTTCTTCAAAATACAAGGTTGTCCCCCTCCTGAAAACGATCATGTCATTTTCGCATTCTTATTACAGTAAATAGGCCTATGTGTGTATATAGGCGTACATAAAAAAAAAAAAAAATTTTTTCCATGAATTGATGAGCCCCAAATAGAACGGGGGTCGGGAAAATTTTGATTCGTAGATGGCGGGGAATAGGCTTTCCTGACTTCTGATGTGTTTTTAATGACTTTTAAGTCATTAAAAGTTCAGGTTTTCCCCCTCTTGAAAAAGATTTAATGAATCGATGAACCCCAAAGAGAAAGGGGGATCCAGGTTCTCCCCGGGAAAATTTTGATTCCTAGATGGCTGGCGGGAAATGAGTTTTCCTGACTTGTGAAGTGTTATTTAATGAGTTTTAAGTTCTTCAAAATTCAAGGTTTAGGCCTACCCCTCTTGAAAACGATCGGGTAAAATACGTATTAATATTTTTTCCATGAATCGATGAACACACCCCCCCCCCCCCATGAATCGATGAACCCCCCCCCCCCCCCCCAAATGGGGTCTTCCCTTGGGAAAATTGTGATTCCAAGATGGCGGGAAATGAGCTTTCTCGACTTCTAATTTTGCTGTCTTTTTACATTTTATTTCTATCGAAGCAAACGTGGAATTTTCATTTTCTAATATACCTGTCTCTTATACACATCTAGATGTGTATAAGAGACAGCCCTACGTCAGTGTTGTCTTAATCGGCCCAACTTTCCGGCCCCCACCCTTTTAGACATTCGTATATAATCGTCTATAACTTCATAAAAAATAGCCAAAGAACGATTTTAAGGTTGATTCTATTATTAATGACATATCAAATATCCAATCTAGAACAAAAAATCATTTTGCTAGTTCTCTTTTAAGGTATCATTGTAAATAAAGGTATGATTTGTAAATGTCACAACGTCCTGATTTCTTTCTGTTCGATCATTTTGCGCCGTCATTTGAAAACATAATATCAGTCATATTTTTTTAATTGAATTTTATTAAATTGAAATATATTTTGGTAACTACAACGGTTATGCCCTACAGTATGTATTATAAGTTACATTTATAATTATATCTTGTTTGAATGTTAACCACAGAAGAAAAATATGGCGGTATTTAGCATCATAATCAGTGCTAGACTTGCTTCTTTAAAACATGAGGTGTATAGCAATACACCCATCATTAATTTTGTTCTCGCTTTGACAGTACATCACATGCTCGGATTAAGCAAATTAAAAAAATATTATTTTTTAAACGAAAACAAATAAAACTATGCAAGTTATATTTTATACTGTTATTCGACGTTAGCCTATGTAAAAATATCCTTTGCGAAACGAAAACAAATAAAATTATGCAAATTACATTTTACACTGTTACCCGATGTCTAAACATACCGATTTTTCTGAAGCCGGGCAATCATTGCGATCCTGAAGAACGTAACGCCGGCACAACGCGCGCGCAACTGATAGTTTATGATGACGTTCCTTTGAGACTGCCACCGACAAGCAGTAGACAGTAGGTAGTTTTCGCCGCACGACGACGTTAATTACCGTTAACGGATAACGTCATAATTTATTCATCTTGCGTTAAGGTTAACGTCGTGCGACGAAAACTACCTAATGTCGCGTTGTCGAACGCTCACAGGGAGTGGAGTTACATTTGTTTGCCGACGGTTGCTGCATATGCTATGCCACTGTGAAGTTAAATAGAAGGACCACCGTATTTTACTCCTTCATGCTTTTACTTTCAAGTTTGTCAACTTCAGTACTCGATTCGAAAATAACGACTACTCCATCCGCTCTACCGTCCATATACATTTATGTAGGCCTACTTTTCAAAAAAGTTCGTCAACATCTGTGCCTGAGCTATCTTCGTCTAAGTCATCTTTTCCGGTGTAGCAAGCATAGCACCGTCTCTGTTGATACAAATATTTAATTATAAATTTAATTATATTTCAATTGATATTGAACATATTTCTAGAGCCTGACTATTCTTTATGGAAATTAAAGGTACCAAAACTTGTAGATACCTCGGTCTATTCTGTAGTAACATTATTTTAATGGCTATTAACCGTTAAGAATAATACTAAGAACAATAGCAATAACTCAAAACAAAAGAATAATAATAATAATAATAATAATAATAATAATAATAATAATAATGTAAATTGCCTAATAATAATGATAACAATAAATATAATAGTAAGATTAAAATGATGATGTTAATATTAATGATGATGAGCCAACCTGGCTTGGTATTAGAATAAGTAATGGGGTCCGGGTATGGCGACGAGAAGGAGACTGCTTCTAAAAACTTATTCGCCTGATGTGTTGCTCGAATTAATAACCCTGAGATTAAGAGTCTGATGCTCTGCAGACTGGTCAAGTACCGAAAGCCTGAGGATGACCATAATGACGACAAGTAGAAACTGTTTCCAAAAAACGTATGCGCCCAATGTGGGGCTTGAACCCATGGCCCTGATATCTTAAGCAGGGCACTCACTACGTCGCACGACGAATCGAACTCCGCTCCCGGTGAAAGGATCGTCATTAAAAAACTATCTGTTGTACGCGCTTCGTCGCGTTGCGTTCTTCATTGAATCACGTCGGCCGACGACAGTCGGGCGCCCCGAGTGCTGCTGAGAGCCGGGCACTAACTGCGCACGTCGGCCGACACGATCTATGAAGAACGCAACAAAACGACGCGCGCGCAAAGGACCGTTTAAACTGCCACCAACACTCAGCAGACGGCGTCGCAGAGAACAGAGTTGGACTCGTCGTGCGACGGTCGTACTACGCAGTGAGTGCCCGGCTGAAGAGTCTCATGCTGTACCGACGACCTAAACGGGCTAGTATTATTCTCAGCTACGAGGATGGCGACAAAGAGGAAGCTGTTTCTAAAAAAAACATATGCACCCAATGTGGGGCTCGAACCCACGACCCTGAGATTAAGAGTCTTATGCTCTACCGACTGAGCTAACCGGGCTTGGTATTTAAGCTGAGCTCCGAATATGACGATAATGTCGACAAACCTGAGATTAGGAGTCTCATGCTCTACTGACTGAGCTACCCGGGCGTGGTACATGGCACGAGCTGTGAATATGACGATGATGCCGACAAAGGAAAAGCTGTTTCTGGAAAAAGCAAAAACGTAGGCCCAATGCCCTCAACGTGGGGCTACCAACGACATTGATTAGGAGTCATTGAGTATGAGACGTCGCGGCATGAGAATCTGTTTCTAAAAAAAGGCATGCGCCCAATGTGGGGCTCGAACCCACGACCCTGAGATTAAGAGTCTCATGCTCTACCGACTGAGCTAACCGGGCTTGGTATTTAACATGAGCTGTGAATATAACATGATGCCGACGAAGAAAAAGCTGTTTCTAAAAAAAAATATGCACCCAATGTGGGGCTCGAACCCACGACCCTGAGATTAAGAGTCTCATGCTCTACCGACTGAGCTAACCGGGCTTGGTATTTAGGCTGAGCTCCGAATATGACAATAATGTCAACAAACCTGAGATTAGGAGTCTCTTGCTCTACCGACTGGGTTAACAGGGCGTGGTACTTGGCACGAGCTGTGAATATGATGATGATGCCGACGAAGGAAAAGCTGTTTCTGGAAAAAGCAAAAACGTAGGCCCAATGCCCTCAACGTGGGGCTACCAACGACATTGATTAGGAGTCATTGAGTATGAGACGTCGCGGCATGAGAATCTGTTTCTAAAAAAGGCATGCGCCCAATGTGGGGCTCGAACCCACGACCCTGAGATTAAAGAGCTATGAAAATGACGAAAGTATGCGCCAGCAATGTGGGTATTGTATTCTTAATTGTGAATGCGTCACCGGCGTTCCATACACAAACACACATTGGCGGCCATTCTGGACAGCGGCCGCTCTAGCAAGCGGCCGGTATGGACCTAGGCACGAGCTGTGAATATGACGATGATGCCGACGAAGGAAAAGCTGTTTCTGGAAAAAGCAAAAACGTAGGCCCAATGCCCTCAACGTGGGGCTACCAACGACATTGATTAGGAGTCATTGAGTATGAGACGTCGCGGCATGAGAATCCGTTTCTAAAAAAAGGCATGCGCCCAATGTGGGGCTCGAACCCACGACCCTGAGATTAAGAGTCTCATGCTCTACCGACTGAGCTAACCGGGCTTGGTATTTAGGCTGAGCTCCGAATATGACGATAATGTCAACAAACCTAAGATTAGGAGTCTCATGCTCTACCGACTGGGTTAACAGGGCGTGGTACTTGGCACGAGCTGTGAATATGACGATGATGCCGACGAAGGAAAAGCTGTTTCTGGAAAAAGCAAAAACGTAGGCCCATTGCCCTCAACGTGGGGCTACCAACGACATTGATTAGGAGTCATTGAGTATGAGACGTCGCGGCATGAGAATCTGTTTCTAAAAAAGGCATGCGCCCAATGTGGGGCTCGAACCCACGACCCTGAGATTAAGAGTCTCATGCTCTACCGACTGAGCTAACCGGGCTTGATATTTAACATGAGCTGTTAATATAAGATGATGCCGACGAAGAAAAAGCTGTTTCTAAAAAAAACATATACGCCCAATGTGGGGCTCGAACCCACGACCCTGAGATTAAGAGTCTCATGCTCTACCGACTGAGCTAACCGGGCTTGATATTTAACATGAGCTGTGAATATAAGATGATGCCGACGAAGAAAAAGCTGTTTCTAAAAAACAAAAGCAAAAACGTATGCGCTGAACTTGGGGCTACCCACAACATTGATTAAGAGTCATTGAGTATGATGTCGCTGAATGAGAATCTGTTTCTAAAAAAGGCATGCGCCCAATGTGGGGCTCGAACCCACGACCCTGAGATTAAGAGTCTCATGCTCTACCGACTGAGCTAACCGGGCTTGGTATTTAGGCCGAGCTCCGAATATGACGATAATGTCGACAAACCTGAGATTGGGAGTCTCATGCTCTACCGACTGAGTTACCCGGGCGTGGTACTTGGCACGAGCTGTGAATATGACGATGATCCCGACGAAGGAAAAGCTGTTTCTGAAGAAAGCAAAAACGTAGGCCCAATGCACTCAACGTGGGGCTACCAACGACATTGATTAAGAGTCATTGAGTATGACGTCACCGAATGAGTATCTGTTTCTAAAAAGGCAAGCGCCCAATGTGGAGCTCGAACCCACGACCCTGAGATTAAAAGTCTCAAGCTCTACCGACTGAGCTGACCGGGCTTGGCATTTATAATGAGCTGTGAATATGACAATGATGTCGACGAAGGAGAAGCTGTTTCTAAAAAAACATATGCGCCCATTGTGAGGCTCGAACCCACGACCCTGAGATTAAAGAGCTATGAAAATGACGAAAGTATGCGCCAGCAATGTGGGTATTGTATTCTTAATTGTGAATGCGTCACCGGCGTTCCATACACAAACACACATTGGCGGCCATTCTGGACAGCGGCCGCTCTAGCAAGCGGCCGGTATGGACCTAGGCCGAACCGACGACCATGAGATTAAAAGTCTCATGCTTTACCGACTGAGATAACCGGGGCTTGGTATTAGCACAGTTATGTTGACGAGAATCACGACGAGGAGGATTATATTGACGAGGATGGTGGTGATGATGATAATGATGGTGATGATGATAATAAAAATTATCATTTTACAGGTACGTTGTTAAATAAATTGCTTACATTAACATCTTTCCAACAGTCCGCACAGTAAGAGAAGTAGCAGCCAGGCCCGGTGCAATGGTGAAATTTCTTTGTCTCGAGTTCACTGCAAATTAAGCACGATTGGCGGCCAAGTTTGCACCACTTCAAACAGCCACAGAATCGTGGGAAGCGGCGCCGCAGGACGGTCAGAATACCGGTTTCCCTCTGAATTAACAAATTGCAAATACATAATTTCAATGAATGAAAGTACAAGCACGTGTATTTATAATGGACGTCTCCGGAGTGTGTCGGGCTGTCATTAACGTGGGTACATTAACAACAGTATGCAGGAACTATACAATTAAGCTTCATTTATTTTTCTCAGTATTTTCAATCATGCATAAGGTCTACAATAGTAACATAATACTGAATACTATAAAAGGCGTTCCTATTTTCAGTTTGTCTCGTAGTGTTGTTTCACAAAGAGCATAACGAAGCTGAATAAGTCGGGTTTCCATAAAATCCCTACACGCTATCGCATACAGCTTGCGAAGACGTCGATTTTCGGTCGAATCGGATGCCTTCTAGATTGCGTTGGCGTAACGATTACAGTGAATACGGTACGTAGTGTAGCGACAATGTAGTGATATTATGGAAAAAAGGATAAACACGTAATACTTACCGACAGTTTGTCTTCTCTAGCTTGTCTCTTAACTCGTTGACGCATATACTTTAAGAATCCTTTTCTTTTTTTCAAACAATCATTGTACATGAACAGAACACGCTTTTTCTCTCGCTGTTTTTCAAATCAAAACACCGGAAAAAAGTTAAAAAATGCATGCGTTAGGCTTATCAAACCACTTTAGTTCGAGAACAAATACAATGTAGTGGCTGACATGACTTGAAATACAGGTCTCCCTCTACGTAAAAACCACTTTTGGGACCGGAGTTACAATGATCTTTAACAGCTTTGGTCTCTAATTGGAATAATACAAATAAAAGACATTTGACACAGAAAAGTGGTCTTTAATTGGAGGTGGTTTTACTTGGAGGGGATTTTAATAATTAGAGGGATACATGTACTGCACTTTACCTTGCGATGAAAGAATGCGCATATAGTGCGGCGCAGTCTAAGCGTGAACGCTTCAAAGTACACCATTGTGAACACGCATGCCCATATTAAAAATATATTTCGAACAATCGTCGGATCTGACTTAGTGGGAACAGGCAGACACTCTGTAATATAACATACGTAAAACACTGATACAGTAATGTTTCTTTTAAAATCGATTGATAATGTAACTAACGGGATATATTAAATTAGAATATTAAACCAACGTGTGTTAAAATGTTTCAAAGATAAGACAAGCGAAGAATACGATAATAGAACAAATAGCCGTACAAAGATGTAATGATAAAAAGATCAGTGGCCAAAGCGTTTTAAAAATAACCAGTATATATAT